CAAACGACTACGAGTTAGTTTCGTTGGACTGTGTTCCAGTGCCAGAAGGATGAGAATCGTTTTGTGTTATCGAGCTCGCAGCCGTCCTAGTATTAGGAGTGATCAGTTGTTTAAATGCACCAGTGATTTGTGCTCACTGATTTGCCTGCTTGATGGGGGCTCCAACTTCCCTGACATCAAGAAGGTATACCCATAACACACAAGCCGGGGTGCTTCACAGAGATCCCTGGACCTCGTTCGGTATAATAGCTTTCATCAATTGGTCAGATCAGGCACCAGGAATGGACCTGTTGTTCTTTGTAATGATACTTCTTTTGTCGCAGGGCATAAGATAGAACTCCTAACTGGGACCATTGATCACGCCAGTATTGTATTCTTGATTAGCTTAACGAATTTGATGAGGAAGGTTTTCAGGTGGGATTTCAAAAAAAACTAACCTTAATATAGTTTGTTCTTACTTAGATTCTATAGATAGGCATGGCTCGTTCAATATTCTCACGGTAAGCGAAATGTATGAGATGTTGCTGTTTGTGCTGAATGGAAGTATCCTCCCCATCCCCATACGTGGGGTCACTACAAGAGGCATTCCGCCATTTTCTTCAAACTCTCCTCCATAAGAAAATAGTTGCATATAAAAGAGCTTTGTCATAAAATGAATAAACAAATGGGTCCTCACAACACGATAACAGCTGATAGGTTTAAAAAGAAATTGTGTGAGTCATATAACTTAGTGGAAAGGAAAATCGTGGAAAACGGGGCGAGTTCGCACTTTACAAGTACAGTAGCTGTAGAGCGGAATCAAAGGGATTTGTAGCAGTTGTGTGAGGACCAAATGCGACACCGCTGCTTCTAACGCTGATAAGCCTTAGCTTATCGCGGAAGAAGTTGAGGTTTTTTTCAAGACTGATAATAATGTAGGGTTGCGCCATGGTCGGATTCGTTTCCTCAAATGCAGGCTCTTGTGGTTTAGTGCCAATGGAATTTTTGAGCTTCTTTCCAAGCGGAAGAATAGTTCCTTCCCAACTACAGATGATATTCCGCTTTACTTTGATAGGAAAGTTATCCCATGAATAATTGGACCATTGCAATTCATCTTTAACTTGAGCTTCATCCGAGGAAGGTTCCCGACAGATGGAATCATTCCTATATAGTTCCAATTCCAGAGAAAAACTATAGGTCGTTCACATTACTTCCATCTTTTGTAGCGTTGTTGAAAAAATTGGTAAGAGTGTCTTGGCTGAGCATTTGGAAAGTAATAAGATATTGTCAGAGTCTCAACACGATTCAGAAGAGGAAGATATACTGTTACTCAAATGCTTGAAGTCTGAACGACTGGACAGCGGCCTTGGATGATAAGAAGGACCTGGATGTTGTGTATCTTGACTTCCGCAAAGCTCTTGACAAGGTCAATCATGCAAAACTTTTGATGAAGCTGAGGCATGTCGATGTACATGATATAATTATTCGGTGGATTAACTCTTTCGTTAACCAAAGGACGTTTCAAGTAAGGTCAAGGTTGTGCCTAGTGGTGTTCCACGAGGTGATCTTGGTAGATGAGGATGAAAAAAGAGTGCAGGATGTTATAGCTGCGGTAGAGAACTGCCTGAGGTATGGGGGCTTCCCTTAGCTTGTATAAATCTCACTCCTGCATTTATGAAGTGATTGACGCGGCTCGAATTATTTCATTGTACGGCGATAGCAAACTAAGCCGAGAAGAGGCTTTCCCAACTATTGCGAAGCCTGTATATATCTATTAACCCCGGCGTACTTTTAAAGGCCTACAAAATATGCGTGCTCCCCATCTTGGATATGGATCGGAAGTTATCTTTTCTCGTGCTGAAAAGGCCACTGCTAGATTGGAAGCTGTACAGCTGTACAGAATAGTTCCACAAGGAAATTATTGATTTGGGCTTTAGGTTTCTGTTATAAATCCATCCCAAGAGCAACAACAAAAAATAGGTTGCTCGGATTCAAGTTGGATCTTAGTAAAAGGAAGAAACAGGACGTTATTATGCTCTCTTGAATACTCACAGGAAGTTGTTGATTCAAGGGAGCTCTCACTCTTCAACCATCAAATGCTCGTGGGAATAAATTGAGGTGATACTTCCCTAAATCCACTTTCAACGTTAGAGCCAATTTCTTTGTCAACCAGGCATCATCCGACTTTCGAGGATTCGTCAAATAAAGCTTCTACCCAAAACTTTATCGCAGTTCAGAAAAACACTAAAACAATACTTGGCCTGAGAGCTCTTTGATCGTTTTAATTTTGCTTTGAGGCACAGTTCGCGATAATTTCGAGATACCCTTTTTATTCGATATTATTCGAGATGCGGAAGTATAGTTGGGAATAGTTCATCTGTACTGAAGGAAGCGAGAGATCCGACGGTTCCGAGAGATATGTGGCTCCATAAAACTAGGGAAGTAGGTGGTGTAGTGGCAAGTGGCGCACCATCTCACGCGCATGGTGAGGGGTTCG